CAACGAATTTCTCAAAGTGGTCAATCTTTTTACCCAAGACTATATCGACATGGCACGACTCGTTCAAGAGAGTCGCCGCTACCTTAGTGAAGACCTGCATCGCCAGTTCAAGGAGATCCTTGGCTGGGATAATCGCAAGGAAAGCGACTACATTGCCTCCGAGCGCTACTCTGCTATCACCAACTTCCACAAACCATCCACGACCAACGTCATCGAACAGCAGGTACCCGTCGAGTCGAACGAACGTTACTCCAGCTACCGCCCGGTGTCTGCGCAAGAGGCCAACGTTCCCTGTTCCGGTCGTGACGAGATGTGCAGGCTCGTCCTCAACGACGAATGGGTTTCGCATCCCGCATGGTCCAGTGAGGACAGCGGGTTCATCGCTCACAAGAAGAACATTTACGAAGAAGCTCTGCACCGGAGTGAAGAGGAGCGTCACGAATACGATTTCCACCTGGAAGCTATCACACGCACCATTGCCATGCTCGAACCGATCAACAACAAGATCATGGCGATGTCTCCAGAGGAGAAGGGTGGTTTCAAGATCAAGCCCAACCTCGGCGGGAACTGGAAGGCCATTCACACTCGGGTGGTGAAAAAGATCTATGGACGGGACCAAGGGATGGACGTCATTGCATCTATGCAAGACTCTCCTGCTCTTGCCGTTCCTGTTGTCCTCCAGCGACTCAAGCAAAAGGAAGAGGAGTGGAAGCGGGCCCAGCGAGAATGGAACAAAGTCTGGCGAGAGGTGGACGCACGGAATTACGCAAAGAGCCTGGACCACCAAGCAATCACCTTCAAAGCAGCTGACAAGAAGGCAATTACCACGAAAGCCTTTGTGAGCCAAATCGAAGCAGCCCGCGAGGAGCAGATGGCGGCACGTGCCTCACTTATCGACCCTCTGTTCGCCCGCACAAGACCACGGCATCAACTCGATTTTGTGTTAGAAGACGTCCCCATCCTCCAAGACGCATTGAAGCTGACCTTTTCATTCTTGGACCGCACCCAAGCTCAGGTGAATTTCGTGGAGCGGAGAAGAATCGAAAACTTCCTGCGATCGTTTGTTCCCCTCTTTTTTGCACTCGAACCTGTGGCTTTCAACGCTGCATTCGTTGCCGTCGGAGAGACAGCCATCGATAGCGAAGGAAGCGAAGGAGATGCTGCGAGCCATCTGGAGGAGGTCGACCTCATGAGCATCGGTGCAGGCCCGTCACGCGGAGGAAGAGGAGGTGGAAGCCACCGCAAAGGCGGACTAGCTGCAAGTGGTGGCGACCTTCGAAAGAAGCTCCTCAAGAGTGAACAAGCCAAGTCGAGCCGAAAGACAAGAGCGAATGACGCCTCGCCGGCTGGTACAACGGCCTGCCTCTCCTTCGCTATTAGATGATGATTTCCGTATGACGTCTTTGGCGATCACTCAGAATGGTCGAAAGCTTCCTCGAAGACACATCTTCTTCACCAACACTATCTTTTACGTGCTCATCAGGCTTATTCAGGTAGGCTTTCTCAACCCGTCTCCCCGCCTCCGATGCGGCATCTGACGTGTTCTTTGTTTAGGTCTTGGTTGCTCGCCTCACGTTGTTCAAAGAGCTGAGCGCAGAGATTGCCGAAGGTCAAACCACAACAGTGAACAACCCTATGGGGCTCCCTGTGTCCAAGGAATATTATTATGAGGTGTTATTGGACAGTTGTGAACGGCTGTTCGACAATGAGCTCGAGACACCTGCATTCGAAGAACAAATGCGGGCGGCCTTTGGCATCAAGGTTAGCTTCCCGCTGTTTATCCGTCTATTAGTCTTCTGATCGTTGTCGGAAAGAATGCGTACAAGATTTTCACGATCGACAAGGTCATCAGCGCGCTCATTAAGCAAGTTCAATCCGTCTTTGCGGATTCGAAGAGTCAAGACCTTCTGGAACTTCTAAAGAGGGAGCGGTCTCTGAACGCACCGACGACACAGGATCAGATAAACAGTCGTCGAAGTACAGAGAAGGTTCTGGGGCCGGACGAGAACCTGTTCAGGGTTGACTGGGTACGTGCCGCGTTGTGCTTCTAGACTAGAAATATGCTGAATGGTGCTTCTTAGCTATCGGACTCAAAAACAATCACCATCCAGCTTATCGGAAAAGACGACTCGAGCTTCGACGACTCGGAGGTCCTCACCGGTAGATGGCAATCCTATATTGACTCCTATGTTTCCGTGAGTGCACTTCTTTGCTTTACGTACCGACCTTTGACAGTTTTTTTGCAGGCCGATGCGACATCGGGCGTGTCCCAGTCGAAAATGAAGTCTCCGTTCCTTCGCAGGTGTGTGGAGCTGCACGTCCATCTGCGCAGCGAGACTAACGGCTATCTAGAAATATCCCGGCTTCGCTTCGTGAATCGCAGCCGTCCGTCGCGTCGGTGGACAACCTCGAAATCAAGGTCTGCATTCGAACCTACCGGCTATTTTACGTTTCCAAGTCGGAAGATTTCCTCTGGAAGTATCGAAGTAAGGACGAGATGGAGGCGTGTGCGGTGAAACTAAAGGCGAGCAATGCCTTGCGGAGGCAGTGGATAGAAAAGTCAGGGTCGTCATAGTTGTTATGTATTTTCGTGTGTATCTTAAGTTAAATATGGTGTATTGGCTCCGGTTATGTAGCGGTCCTGTGTGCGAAATGGACTTGGTGTGTTGGTCTCTCATCAACTGTGGCGCTGAGTGATGGCTTTAAAAGTTCGGAGCACATCCCGCCATCGTACCCTTCAACTTTTGCGGTCGTTATGATGGAACCGAAGGGCGCGCGGCATTTCAGATCAACGCGAGCTGTCAAACCATGTGGAAATAAAATAAACAGAGGAAGGCCTGTTTATTGTCAGTGGGCCTTTTGAAGGAGGGCGTACTTGGCCCGGACAGCACTAGGCTTCCTGTCATAAGGGCCGACAGACTGACGACTGTCCGAATGAGATTATTTATCTTACTCGGTGAGATAGATCAGCCAGTTGCCTTGAATATCTAGGGCAACTGATTAACCAGATAACGACTTGCTTGATTTCTCTCATCGCACGAACGAGGGCATGAAGAAGGTTCCATTGTGCTAGTGGTATACATATCAGACTTGTAGAGAAGTAGAGCATCAAAAATAGAAAGAGGACTGAAAGACAGGACAGCCAGCGGTGGAGGGTTACCTTGGATGCACGACCGTGGATGGCACTGGGTTTAAGCATTGAGAGTCTCCTGTCCAGGGAATAGCTCTCCCTTCAATTTGGCGGCAGCATGGCCGCGAGCGAGATATCCGTAGCTGGGCAGGTATCTGGATCTCAGATGAGTACACCTGAGAGGAAGAGAAGAGAGATAATAGAGCTCACCTGTCGAGGAAAGGCAAAACCTCGACAGCACCGGGAGTGTTCCTCCAGTCCCGCATCAACTCACAAACTACAGAGAAGAAGGAGAGAACTTGGACTCCCGCTGAGCGCATACGGTTGTTGGCATCCTCGGCGATGGCCTTGTTGAAGGTGCCAGAGGCATCAGCGTTGGCGAAAACCTCATAGCCTTCAGCGGCGAGCGAGAGGGCGAGGAAGGTGGTGCAGACCTGAGGAGGGATGTGCGTCAGTAAAGTGACTTGGCTGAACGCCCAGATAGTCGGCAAACATGCCAGGATGATATAAAAAGAATATTACGGTGGACCTACATCAGTAGTGATACCAGCAAGGATAATTTGGGTTTTTCCAGTGGCTTTTACCGCGTTGCGGAATTCTTCGTTGCTCCAGGCGTCGACCTCTCCGTTGCGTCGCACGTAGGTGGCTTTGGGGTGCAATTGCGTGATTTCCTTGGGGAGAGGTCCGTTAGGGCCTAAGGACAGCAAATATTCAGCAAAGAACGTTGAGAGAGGAATGCGAATCGCAGATGAAACTTGAACGTTGGAGAGACATGACGCTCACCGTTCTCAGCACTTGTGGTCAAGATGGTGGGGAGATCGAAAAGGACACCAAGCTCGGCGTGTGCAACGATGTTGTTCCTGTACTCGGTGGGGTTTATGTCTTTTACAAGCTCGAAGAGACCAACTTGATGGTCAACGACAAGGAGGGCGGCCTTGGACTTATCTAGACGAGGAACCATGGTGAAGATTTGGTGAGGAAAAAGGAGATTGGAAAGAGAGGGAATGAGTTTGCTATCTAATTTACTCGCTAGATGGCTACCTTAAATACTGTCCCTCCACCCTCGAAATTAGGTTTCGGCGTGAGCAGGCCACATGCACCGTTTGCAATCCACAAGGAATTCCCTGCTTCTTACCCCAATGGCATGTTGCATGCCATCTCAATGTGACAAGACCCTGATAATAGTAACTCTCGATAAAAAGGAGGAATCCAGGATTTTACTGAGACAAAGAGTTGCTGTACCGTATGTGGAAGGGACCGTGGGTTTACGTGGGACGACATGGCAAGCCTGTTCCCTGAAAAGGAAAGCGCCCATACCGGACATGTATCTCCGTACGGTAAGTTGCCCCACTCTTGTCGATTCGAGAACGCCGAGCTATAGCGTACAATTGGCGGACGCCGAGGCGCTTTGTGGGTACAAGGGCGCTCGGGCTATTCTGCGAGGATTTCCCTTCAGATTCAATCAATGGCATCACTTCTCGGGATCGTAACTTTGTCTCTCGTAGCAGAAGGGTTCAGTAGGGTTTTCGAGGGGTGAGGCAAAGGATCACGCTTTCCAAATTGATCAGGGCCATCCGGAGGGACCACCACCGGCTGCCCCAGGTGTCTTGCTAGTCTGAATTGATGCATATCCTCGTAGCCATTGGCTAGGGGGCTCTTCGTTGCATGAGGTTTGAGCAAGAGTGGCCGATCGGATTTCAAGGGTATTCTGGATCTGCCTCGCGCATGTTGAAGATTCCAACTGGATTGGCTTTGGCTATGTAGCGGACCTGTGTGTGAAATGGACTTGGTCTCTCTATCAATTGTGGCGCTGGATGATCTGAAGGTAGGGCCATTTAGATATAGTATAGCTAACTGCTTGTATCTTCACGGGCACATGGTGTAGTTGGTTATCACGCTCGCTTAGCAACCCATTGGGATTTGAACCCAACGGATTCCGGTGCGAGAGGTGTTGGGTTCAATTCCCAATGTGTCCAATCTTTTTTCCCTTTTTGTTTTGACCCTATCGAAGACAGAATGCGAGGTGAAAAGACAGTGAGAAGTGCTGAGCAGTGAGAAGTGCTGAGCAGTGAGAAGTGCTGAGCAGTGAGAAGTGCTGAGCAGTGAGAAGTGCTGAGCAGTGAGAAGTGCTGAGCAGTGAGAAGTGCTGAGCAGTGAGAAGTGCTGAGCAGTGAGAAGTGCTGAGCAGTGAGAAGTGCTGAGCAGTGAGAAGTGCTGAGCAGTGAGAAGTGCTGAGCAGTGAGAAGTGCTGAGCAGTGAGAAGTGCTGAGCAGTGAGAAGTGCTGAGCAGTGAGAAGTGCTGAGCGCCATTGGTTTGACGCCCGCTTCCGGGCTGATGAATAGAATAATAATACTCACCTTGTCATACCTCCAAGTCGTCGCTTTTGGTCGCAAAAGAACTTTCGACGCTCGAGCAAGCGACGCTCACCGCGGTTGGCAAACCGATTAAAAACAGGGTATATTTCTAGGCACTACGTGTTTAGATCCATTCAAACGTCTCCGAGTCTTGAATCGTTGATTACGACAAGCGTTGTCGTTTCAAACCACTTGTCAATGCCCGCGATTGTTTCCAAAACATAGATTAGTGAATGGATGATTATACTGGATTCATAAACTAAACTACATACGGCATAAACTTATATATCATAATCATGTCCTTTTTACAAGAGGCAAGACAGATACCGGGTTTGTTAGAAATTGCATGGCCAAGTTCCGCGAATCGTCCAACTCACGCAGCTCCTCCGTCAGCTGATACAGGTCTTGTCTGACCTTGCTGAACATCCTGGCCGACTCTGCGTTTACTGAAGCCTCGTCTATCACCACGTCTCGCTGCCTCCCATAATCCACAACGTATGATATTGACTCGTCCGCCGTTCTTGATGCTTCGCGTGTCTGCTGCAGTTCCTCCAAGCACGAACGACATTGCTCCAAGCACTTCCCAAGGAGATATTCGAGAATCACTTGCTGACAGTCCAAAACCCTCTTCCCATAGATCGCGCCCTTGTATTCCATCATGACCCCTTCTGCGACACCGCGTCTGTCCGTTGGAGCGGAGGGCCCCTGAAGGGAGAAGTGCTGGTTAGTCCGTGATCGTGAAGCCAATGTGAGAAATGGAACGTACCAAAGGCCGCTCGACAGGGTCTGGGAACTTTGACGTGAGGTATTCCCTCATATGGGCCACGTCGCCCACCATTTGGTCGACTTGAGAAAATGCAAAGGTTTCCAGAAGTTGCCTCGAAATACCAGTTACTGAGGTGGCGAGTTCATTCTCGGTTGTTGAGCGCGGTGAAGCAGGATGTGAGGCAGGATATGAGCTGCTGGCGTCGCATGTTGAATGTCTTTGTTGGAGCATCATGGTAAGGCCACCGGATGTTGGATAAGATAAAGGCGGGCACAGAAGGCAAAGTGCAGTCGACCCCCGTCAGAGGTGGGGATGAGAGGCTTCGGTGGTTGGTGAGGAGAGATATGTTGAACCTTCCCTTTCTCTCTGACAATTATATAGGAAGGATCCGTATTCCATCCGCCGTTCCCGTGTTCATCCCTTGGCGACCACGCCACTCGCCGACTCGGGGAAGTTGGTGCACCCAACATGCGCGGTTTCAAAGGAGGCTCGTCCATTTCGGGCAGTTTAATGAAGTCATTGACGTGCAATGAGGCACTTCCCTTTACGAGAAACACTTCGCGCCCAGAAGGATGCACGAAGGGCCGAGGGGTTGCGGTGGTAGAGGGAGCTGCGTCGTACATTGCTCGAGGTCGATACGACTCCGGTACCGAATCCTTTGACACAAGTCGAGATTAAGTTGAAAAGAAGACGATTACAACTGCAAGCGAGCTCTCAAACAAGGACGATTCGGAATTCAATATGCCCCCATAACGCCGCCGTCGCCTTTTTTGCGCCGACCTCTGCCCAATCGCGTTGCTGCACCGTTCCGAGTCGGGACGAGGGAAATTTAGTTGTCCGTTCGTCCGGATTTGCTGAGAGAGAAAATCAGATAACGGAGAAGCACCCTCCCCTGTCTCCCGAGGAGCCGGTGTATAATCTAGAAGAGACCCCAATCCCGAATCGGGTGAATACATGAATTCGTCCCTATAAGCGCGACGGTCAGAACGACTGACTACACAGGAATAGACGCAATCGATATCGTAACGACGGAGCGAGCGAGTACAATCCAGGCTCAGAGGTCCATCGAAACGTCCCCCGTTGATTCGGACGTTTGCATTCGTGCACGGTTTAATCGCCGTTTGACCAGCCTACGGAATAGAGCGCGATGAGAAATGTGTCACGTTTTGCCTGGTGCATAGAACTCACCTGTGGAAGAGTTCCAATGGTCCTTCGTCCAGCTGACCAGAGGAGTGGGTTGGTTCTGTTTCTTGGTTGCCTCCGAGGGAAAGAGGGACCCAGCTGCTCAGTGGACTGGTTCCAGGCTCATAGCTTGACTCCGAAACATAGAGAAGCAAGCCATCGGACTGTACGATTGCAGAAGTCGGCGATAGACTGACTGAAGGTGGAGATGACGAAGCAAAGACGAATGGCGACGAGGAAGATCCGGCAGGCTTCAACGGCATTTCAACCTCCATGCTGAAGCTGAAGACTTCTTCTTGACCTATTTCCGGGGCGGAGGGAATAGTGGATGGCATCCCCACTGTAATCGACCGAACTGAGCGGGCGGCAGGAATGACATCCCTGTCCAGAGATGTCAGTGAGGTATCCGCGTGATAGGGTATGGGCATGAAGTAAGTTGGGTATGGGAACTGCAGGTGATCCCCTTGCTTCGCTTTTCGAAAATTAATGTTTGGAGGAAGCGACTGGGATACTTCGCTTAGCCTCGTGTCTCTCCACCAGAACCTTGGAGAAGTGCTATCAGGAACGGTATGAGCGCTCAGGTTCGGACAAGGCTCACCGAAAGGGTGCTTCACAATCACCGACATCTTGGCCTTTCCATCGAATGACATCCAGAACATGAATGATCCCGTTGTCCCTCCAGTTGGCGTCCAAGATACAGTCGAGAACGGTCAACGCAGGTAAAGGGGATGGAAAACGCGGAATCAAGGCCTTCCCAAGAAGGCGTGAACGAAGCGTTGTATTAGGAACTGGAGTGAAGCATCAGATCCATCCCGGAAGCCGGAAAATGTATAGACCAACCTCCTCCCAGTCCCGGAGACTGATGTGTGACCACAAGACAACGTTTACCCACCGGTATAGGAGCGACAGCGACCCAGCTGGTTTCAAGGTCACTCGGAAGTGTGTCGTCGTCAGACTCCCATAGGTTATCATCTGCCGTCATCTCAAGCAGCTCAGCGTACATGCACTGGTCTGCCCATTTGGATGGCTTGTTGTAGTTGCTATTCTTCTTCTTTCCCTTTTTCCGGCGCTTCCTCTTGCCTGGAGCAATCTCCGACGGGACGGAACCACTAGGAGCATCCTCCACTCCGTCATCATGGATCTCCGTGTCGTTCACAACAGCATCGGGAGCACCAGAGGCCTTCAGCATAGAGACGTATGGTCCTACGGCTGATGGTGCAGCATGAGAAACCTGCTCATCGTCCTCTGCAATGTCATCATCCTCAGAATCATCGTTCAGATTCAGACTCGCAAACACGTCTAGTTGTCGAGTAGCATCGAACTTTTGCGCTCTCCTCTGCGCAATGGCTCAGTATCCTCACAGTGGGAGGTAAAGAGGAGCATACACGCTTCTGATCTTCCAAAGCCTGGTCGTACAGTAAGCCAATAGAGTCTGCGAGTTGCTCTCGTGTGCGCACCTTGCTCCTCCTGGTCTCCTGGGTTTCTTTTGCAGAAGAGCTGGGAGGCAGTTTATAAGAAAGCTTTCTGTCATTGTTGTTCAACATCGACCGGGCTCCGGAGGTCAATGTGGTATTGGTCAGAGAGCCCGTGGAAGCGAAAGAGCTCATATGAAAAGACGCGACGATTACCTTGGCGATATAACTAACAATAATCAGCCTGTTCACATGGTGAGATGGCCGAGCGGTCTAAGGCGCCAGACTAAGGATCAGGGCATTCAATGTCCAACCAATCACGAAAGTGGTATCTGGTCCGAAAGGGCGTGGGTTCGAATCCCACTCTCATCACATTTTTTGTTTGGTTTCTTCTCGCATTGAATTTGGAAATATCGGAAAGAGCAACAGTCCGAAGGCCTATCTATGTACGTTCAAGTGCCGAATCAATCCTCTACATGATCCTCTACATGTCTCAGTGTATATTACTCGCAGCTACACATATTCGGTTGACTGAGATTCAAATAGTCTAGGCTGCGACAACGTTCCATACTCTGATTGAGCCATCATCGCCTGCAGTCGCCAGCAATGATTCAAACCCTTTCCTAGGGCACCAGGATATTGAGTTCACATCGTGCACACCATGAGCATCAGTATATGTAGCGATGAGGTCGTGAGTGAGAGGAAGTGGTGATGATTCCCCCTCCTAGATTTCATTAGGGCACTGGACCAGGGAGAGAAACGCAGTGACTTACTTTCATATCCCATACGCGAATGACACCATCACCTCCTGCTGCAGCCAGCCATCCTAAGCCACCTTTTCCGTCCTTTTCTCCTGGCTTGGATGTCCAGCTGATAGAGTAGACACTTCGCTCTCCTGCTTCAATTACAGCCACCGGGATCCACCTCCCTTCTCCCTGACTACTTGCAAGGACAGAGGGTGGCTTCACTTGGAGAGCGCGCTTTCCACCTTCACCGACCGGAGCAGATGTAGCATCAACATAGGCCCAGATGCGCACTGTTTTATCGTCCGAGCAAGATGCCAGATAGCGTCCACACGGACTCCATGCCAGGCACCAGACCGTTGAGGTGTGCCCTTGAAGAGTGGTAAAGCAGTACCAGTCATCAGACGGGTCGTCAATGTACAACTTGATCGTATCGTCGTAAGATGCGGATGCGAGAATCTAGCCCAGGGGTATCAGCAGACGCGAGGGGTCACTATCAGGTGGTACAGACCTCTTCATGCGGATGCCAACTAACATGCTTGACGTCTTGGGAGTGCTCCAACAAGACGCCCATACACTCAAACTCTGCATCGGGTTGGACTAAAATGTTCGAGTTAGCAAAAGAATCATGTGCAGTACATACGGGCTCACTCACCCTCCCAGATCCAGACAGACTTGTCCCTGCTACAGCTAGCGAGCAGGGTTCCGGTGCAAGAATAAGCCACGGATTTACACTCGGTCTCGTGCCCTTCAAGCGTCCCTATGCACTCCCAATCAGCAGTGGGATTCAGTCGGCCTTCCTGTTCTTCTTCGTCATCGTTGTGCTCCTGCTCCCAGATCCCGACATTCGAGTCGAAGGAAGCTGTTGCCAGAGTCTGACCAGACGGTGACCATGCAACTGCTCGGACAGTCTTGAGATGTTCCGTATGGATCGTGCTGGTAGGTTTGAACGACAATGCTCCAGCATCGCTACCAGAAGAACCATACGAGTACATCCTAACAGTTTTATCTGCGGAGCATGACGCGAGCAATGGATGCTTTGGATTCCACGAGAGGTTCCAAGCACGCTCCGCGTGCCCTAGAAAAGAGAGTTGGTCAACGATTGCAAGTCAGATACAGTAGGAGGAACCTTCTAACTCTGCAACTGGAAGTAGCGTATACGGTTTGTCGACGTCCATGCCTGATGGTGGTGGTACGAGGGAGAGCTGGGATCGCTCTGCATCTAATCTTATCGCCCAATAGCATCACCAGAATTGTGCAAGCTGAACAGTGCAAAAAGTCTGACGAGAGTGGGATTCGAACCCACGCCCTTTCGGACTAGATCCTGATTCTAGCGCCTTAGACCGCTCGGCCATCTCGCCTTGAAAGGCGTTGGACCTCGCAAAACTACAGTCTACTTACCTTCGGAAGGTGAAAGCCCAACCGATGTTCGCCCAAGCCAGTGCTTAAACTTTCTCGCCGGCGGGATCTCTGAGTATCAAGTCACCGAGGCATGAATTCTCCAAAATCATGCTAAGAGCTTCCAACTACCCTGCTCATGACACTCTTCAAGGATGGGCTCAGTGGCTTCAGCCCCTATTCCTTATCTTATCAGCGCGCTTTGGCGCCAATCCGATCCTGACTCCAATTTCTCAGCCAGAGTCATTTGCCGAGTTCTCGTTTCTCCCTGTTCAAATTCTCATCTATCTCATCCCCCCATCTTGTCCTTAGAGCGTCTAAGGTGCTCAGAAAGACCTACCATCGAACCTAGGCACCTCATCGCTTTTGCACCATGACTCACGCCGGTTCAGCATACCCCAAACATTTCAACCTAGAGGCGGCTATTAGGCCCAATATTCTTGCGTTACAGCCATACAGATGCGCTAGGGATGACTACTCAGAGGGAATCCTACTGGATGCCAACGAAAATGCTCTAGGACATGCTATCGTCTCAGAGCCATCCAAGTCGAATGGTTCTGTTGACACGGAGTTTGAGGCCAAGATGGCGGATACCCTCAATCTACCATTGCACCGTTACCCATCACCTACCCATATCCCGGTCAAGTCGAGGCTCGCGGACTTGCGTTCCCTCCCATCGCCAGACTACGTCTTTTTGGGCGTCGGATCTGACGAGGTGCTGGACCTGCTAATCCGGATCTTTGTCAAACCCGGCACTGAAGGTGAGTCATTATCATATCGATACTTGATACAGCTCCTTAAAATGAAGCAGGTGCTAATCTTGAAAAGATCGTGGCTACACCGCCTACCTATGGCATGTACGGTGTGTGTGCCCAGGTGAATGACGTCTCGACTGTCAAGGTGCCCCTCCGCGTGACGCCGCCATCCGCGGCATGGACAGAAGGAGGAAAGACGGGACGCTTCAGCCTCGATGTCGAAGCGGTGAAAAATGCTATTCGTGAAGAACAACAGCAAGGACACATTGTCAAGCTCTTGTTTCTCTGTTCGCCCGGAAACCCTACCGGCACTCTGTTAGACCTGAGCTCTGTAAAGGAGATCCTGGAGTGGGAAGAGTTCAAGGGTGTCGCAGTCCTTGACGAGGCGTACATCGACTTTGTTGGAAGTGAGGATGAGGACGAGAAGAAGATTTTGGACAGGAGCGGAGCCACTCTCGTCGAAAAGTACGCAAACGTCGTCGTCACGCAAACCCTCAGCAAAAGCTTTGGTTTGGCTGGTATCCGGTCCGTCTCCCTCTCTGACGCTCCGTCTAGTGTCGCTAAACCTGCTCTTTAGTCTTGGCGTCGCTTTTGCCCAACCACCTTTGATTCAAATTCTCTCCAACACCAAAGCGCCGTACAATGTCTCAGTCCCTACCGCCCATCTTGCGGAGCAAGCTCTCTCACCCGCTTCCCTCGATCGGTGGAGGCAGAACGTGCGAACGCTCAAACGGAATCGGTCAGCTCTGATCAAGGGTCTTCAGGAACTGTCGTCTGCCACCCTCAAGGAAGGAGGCGCCCTGGGTGTGGGCGAGATCATCGGCGCCAACGACGCAAACTTTGTTTTGGTGAGGATATTGGAACGCCCCTCTCCCAACTCCGCTTCAGGTACTCAGCTCAAGCCTTCGAGCAAACGTGCAAACGTCGTTTACAAGGCCCTTGCGGAGGAGATGGGTGTTGTGGTCAGGTTTAGAGGCAATGAACTTGGTTGTGAGGGTGTTCTCAGGATCACGGTCGGTACAGAAGAAGAAAACGCAGAGGTGTTGAAGAAATTAGAAGAGGCACTTCAAAGGCTGTAGAGTGGCACTACTAGCAAGTGACAAATTACAGCAATTCGCGGAACATAGGGCGCGGCGCGGATTTTGCGATTTTTGGACACGCGACCACCCCTAAAATGAATCCCTTCGTATCTCGCTCATTTTTGAACGGATTGCCGATTTCTTGCTCTATTATATACAGTTTGAAATTGTGAATCCTTGGGTACCAAATTTATAAAGGAATTGAGAACTTTCGATAGCATCTCCTCGCCTCGGCCTTTTACCTGCTGCGTTGGGACTGTGATCAAATCTCTTGTAGTTATCTTGCGTCTGGCTGCGAATTAACCCTTTGAATGTGTGATACAAGTACTTTGTAAGACGTATCGGCAGTACCAACATGCATGGAGGGCTTTATTCGGATAAAATCTGGGAGACAGCTTACCCTCTGCGGCTGGCTGACCACCTTTGTAAATCAGAAATTCTTTTGAAAGCTCTGAGCCGAGATGGACCTTTAGAATAGTTCTAGCATGCGTTAGATGAGCTTTGGGCATTATATATTTGGGACTTTTGCTTTTGGCCAAAACCTACGAGCCTAGAATGTTGCCAGCAAAGCACTTCTAGCAGCTTCCGTAGCTGCATGCACATGAGCCCTGTTGGAGGATTGAGTTGCTGATAGCAACTATAGACCTTCCACAAAATCTATTGATGCATTTTTTGAAGGCCGCTGCCCTTGTATGATGCTCAAAGCGACGGGAAGGCAATCGGGGGTACGACCAGGAACCGGGGTATGTCGCAAGGCACATGACTGGGCACTATCCTCCCCATACGTGCCTTCAGGGATTTAATGCTCGTTTGGTATATCTAAAGTATTCTTTTTATCTCCATCAAGGCTATACTCTGCGCTTGCATTCGCATATTTTAGTCACCCCGTTGCACGCGTGACGCAAAGTGCTCTGAACGAGAAATCGATCTGTTTTGAGGGAGAAATCTTTATCATTACAATGCCCTACATAATGCGAGTAGAATACAGCCAGAATCGTAGCAAACCGAAGGTATTTGAGTGAGCTACGAAGGAATTTGTCTGAGGCGCGATCGGGTGTCAAAAACGCGCGAAATCCGCGCCGCGCCCTATGTTCCGCGAATTGCTGTAAATGGTGAATTCTCGGTGTCAGCCTCAAGGGGCATGACTTCCTGTGCAACGAGTGAATAGTAACGTTAGGGCCATCATCTTCTACATGGACCCACACCACAGCAGTTCCGCACCACATCTGACATTCGATGGGCTTCGAGAAGCCTCTGAATGACAGATAAGCTTGAGGGCGCCGCATCGCGAGGCTGCGTTGGCCGTGCAATCGTTGGCACAGGTCACATTCTAAACCCTTCGGAGAAGTTCCTTCACTAGTTGCGAGATCTTAAATGTAAGTCAATGACATTGTAGCCTGCTCCTCTAGGCTTCCCTACACCCCTGTTGATAGTGCCTGTTTCAAGCACTCGTCCATACCATCATACGACATCATCTTATCTGAGCGACGGGATGCCCTACAGGGCAGGTAAGGGAGGCGCTCCCCGCTCGAATGGTAAGTATCGCAACCCGATCCAGCGAATGAATATCTAAAATTCATGATCTACCAGGTCGCAACAGTCAAGCTTTTGCTCGAGCGCGGGACACCACCACAAACGGAGGTGGCCCTCGTCCGCACCTCCGAGTCTGTTGCCTCCATTGCCACTGCAATACGGAGGTCAAAACCCATAGCCAACACTTGCAAGGCGTCACTAACACTGGAGGAGACATCTCTGTCGCCGGAAGAGACGTCGTTACGCACGTAATCACCAACTACTCCCTCATCGGTCCCATAAGCATACAGGGCGAGGGAATGAATGTACGTATATCTCACTTCGCCATTTGACCAGCTAATAATATCCCTCGCTATCCAGACAACTATCTATTGTTTTTTTGTCGATGCGGGTCACAGTATCCTGACCCTGTCCATTCTCACCAACCCGCGGGGTGCCCTTCCCTTGTTGAGGTGTTACCAGTGTGAAGAATGGATGGTGTTGGATGATTGTGTTGCCTTTGCAGTCCAAAAAAACTGCTCTTTCAATTTTATTTCTATTGTTATGAAAGCCTGGATTACCCCATTGCCTGGAGGAAATCTTGCCACCGGCTGCAGCGTTATGTTCAGCGAAGGGATGCAGCCGGTCGCTTGGTTTATTCCGGATGGTGACAGCGGTGGACGTTTGATGTACAAGGCGAAGGCCGTGGCTGCACCATGCGTCGTAGTTCAATTAGTTTGATCAACGTATTGTGCAGCATCATGATCTTCTGCATTGTTGCTGAGGAGGCGGGCAGGATGCTACACAATACGTCAACCAACTGACTGACCTACGACATATGGTGCAGCCCCAGCCTTCGCCTTGTACATCAAACGTCCACCGTTGCTGGTGGATCAAGGCATAAATTATGAACTGCCTTTTGTACTACCCATTCTTAAAATTTATCTGTTTAACCTAGAGCTGCAACCTTGAACAAAGGACTTTCTTCATAAGCCACAGTAGATTAAGAGTGCCTATTGAGCTACAATGAGCATACACAGCCGATCTAACATTATTTAAAGTTCATGGTTTCTTTGGGTTGGGTTCAGATCCAGCCTCAGTCCGCCCTCTCTTTCTTTCATACTCCAAAGTACATGGGCGTCGCGAGTTCCAGGAATGGCCATTGTGCTGCATTATCTAAAGCGCGCGGGGGGCATCAAATCAGAACGCTACGCCATTCTGAGCCTGCTGGGGCCTGCTGGAGTCAGCACACTGAAAATGAAGTCGGCGAGCCACCCAAATCTAGATACTCGCCCGTGAGTGGACAAACAATTGTACCGTTGAGCAGAGTCTCCGCTGATCAAGGATCTTCAGGAACTGGCATCTGCTCCCTTTACGGAAGGAAGTGCCGTGGCTATACTAGGCGAGATTATTGACTCCAACAACACAAGCTTTGTCCTAGTGAGGATATTTGGACGCCACCCTCCCAAACCTCTTCAGTTACACAGCTCAAGCCTTCGAGTGCACGCGCAAATAGTGTTTGCAAGGCTCTTGTGGAGAAGGTGGGTGTTATTATCAGGTTTGGAGGCAACGAACTTGGATGCGAGGGCGCAATCAGGATTACAGCATCGTAAGAAA